GTAGGAGCCGTCGTAGAGCTTCGGGTCGAGCGCCCGCCGCCGCGGCTCCTCGCCGACGAGCACCTCGGGCGCCGCGGCCGTCGCCACGGCGGACAGCGACGCCGCCGCGAGGCCCTCGCGCAGCGAGCTCGCCACGCGCGCCTCGGCGCCGCGCACGAGCTCCTTGATGGACGCCGCGGCCGGCGGGCCGACGCGCTCGACGACGACCGCGCCGAACGGCGAGTCGCTGCCCGCGGGCCGGTAGGCGACGTCGACGCCGTTGTCGGGCATGGCCACGTAGCGCACGCGGATCGTCGGGGTGCTCGCGTCGACGGTGACGGGGAACTGCGGGTCGCTCAGGGGCGACGCGCTCCAGCCGTCGAGCCAGCCCTCGACCTTCGCCGCGGCGCCGGGGACGAGCGCGCACTCGACGAGCGCGTCGCCGTTTTTGACTACGATGGTGCGGCGCGCATAGCCGCGGTGCTGCGGGTGCTGGAAGGCTGCGACGCCGCACAGAAAGGCGCAAATTCTCCGCACCATCGCGGACGGCAAGGTCGCGAGCGCCTTGTGGTAGCACCCCGTAAGGTCGTACTGATAGCTTAACTAGTGCACGTTAGATTTGACCGAATTTATTATCGGATCTGATCCGGGGGGCGGCAAAGTGAATATATCTACACGCTCCTGAGGTCCAGGCGATCTCGAAATGGTATCCCTTGCGGTCATCGGTTCCAGGGATGGCGAGGGATGGGTGATCAATTATTTCAACGGCCACTTAGCCTTACTAGGTGATTTCAATATTTTTTTTGAGAATTTTTTTCCCGGCACGCCTTGCAGCGGTTCTCGCGAACGGGCTAGCCTCCTGTTGCAAGCGTGTGCTCCCCTTGGAGAGGGGGTCCATGGGCGTCTATCGACGCGTCCAGCACGCGATTGGCGACGCTTGGCGCGTGCGCCGACCACGCGCGCGCGTCCAAAAGTCATGGAGCAAAATGTCACTTAAAAAGAGTGTTTTCGCACGCTAGGAGTATTGGAAACGAAAGAAAACACGTGATTCTGGCATAAGACGTAAAAAGTTCGGGGTCGGAGGTCGGCAGGAACGCGTCGAACCACCCCCCGTCGACCTAGCGGGGTGCTACTGCGGGCCGGGCCCTTGGCGGCGGCGGGCGCCGGCTTGCCCGGCGGCGGCGGCGCGCGGCGGCCTTCGCGCGACTCGCGCTCGCCCGCCAGGCGGCGGAGCGCACCGTTCGACGACGACATCGACGAGGTAGGGTCACACCTTGGCTATCGGCGCAATTATGTTCATACTAGCATTAACCTAGTTATCGTATAGAGCCCATTCCGCGCCTTCAAAATCGATTTTACCAACTCCGATGAATGTATGGCTGTCAAGAACGGGTTCGTTGCACGTCTTTCCATCAAAAAATCAGCTCATTTGGCCTCAATCTCGCCGAGAACGAGCTCGCTGAAGTGATAGTCTTGTAACCTAGTAATCGTACACTAGGGCAAAACCACGCCGAACTGCGTCGCCGCGGCCTCCAGCAGCCTCCACCCCGCGCCCCCTCGCACGGGGGGTCGTACCCGCGTCGCGCGTGCGGCGGCTGTCGGCCACTCGTCGGTTCTTACCTCGCTCCGACACCGCGCGCGCGGACCTCGCACGGCCCGCGGTTGCAGACACAATTCGGGCCATTTCGTGTGTTCTGCGCATGCCTGGACGCGCGATGGACACCA